GTCGTCATCATCATCGTAATCAGAATTCTGATCATCAGCAGCATCATGAACATCATCCTATCATTCTTATCATCATCATCATCATCATCATCATCATCATCATCATCATCATCATCATCATCATCATCATCATCGTCAGCAACATCATCGTCGTCATCATCATAATCAGCAGCAGCAGCAAAACAGCAGCATCAGCATCATCTGCAGCACCAGCATCAGCATCAGCATCATCAGCATCACCAACCAACATAATCAGAATCATAATCAGCATCATCAGCATCATTATCATCATCAGCAGCAGCAACATCATCGTATTCGTCATCAACATCACCATCATCATCACCACCATCACCATCACCAGCATCAGCAGCAGCATCAGCAGCATCATCAGCATCAGCATCAGCATCAGCATCATCATCATCATCATCATCATCAGCAGCATCAGCATCACCATTATCCCCATCACCAAAGTTCTGGCTCGAGGTTCTGCGCGACACGCCAGCCTCCACCCCGCGATGGGACGAGCGCTCCGCATGCTGCCGGGCGCGCCACAGGCGGCGGCCCGCCCCGAAGCCGCTGCCGGACGAGGCCTCGGCGCCAGCGCCGGCGGGCGGAGGCGTGGGAAGCGCGGGGCGGCTCCAGGGCCCGCTGGGCGTCCGAGGCGACGCTCGGGGCGACCGCGCGGGCGGCCAGGCGCAGGAGGCAGCGCTGCGACGCCGGTGCTGACGCCGGCGCGGGAGGCGCAGGCCACGGCCGCCGCCCTCAGGGCGCGCGTTGCTGCGGCCGCTGCAGCACGCGGCAGCACGCGGCCCGAGCGCGAGGCGCCCGGCGCGCCACTCCGCAGCGCAGCCAGGCCACGTCGAGCCCGCGGCGCTCGCCGTGGCCGAGGCGGCGTCCGAGGGGGAGAGCACGCGCGAGGGCGAAGGCCTGCGCGAGCTGGCGCCGCTCACGGAGGCGGCGACACGATGTGGCGAGGGACGCTGAGCAGACCGACGACGACGATCTGCATCCAGAGCTCGCCGAGCAGATCGAGGGCTCCGTGCCCGAGGAGCCGAGCGCCGCGCACATGGAGGGCACCGAGCAGGAGGGCGGCGGCGAGCACCAGGCACTATGGGCGTCGAGCAGACGCGCGGCGCCCGCAGGGAGGCGAGGCTGCGGGAGGCGGCCCACGCCATCGCCACGCCGACGTGCCTGCCGCAGGCGCTGGCGGCAGTGGCCGAGCACCTCCTGGGGGACGCCTTCCGCTGGCCCCCTCCGTCGACGTCGCCGCGCTCCACGTGCTCGCGGGCCCGGCGGGCTCCCCCGGCGCCTCTGCCGGGGCGTGGACTCCGCCCCCGCGCCGCGGATCGTGCTCGGGGCGCTCGTGTCGGGGCGGTGCCACGCGGCCTGGAGCGGCCCGCGCCTCTGCCCAGGCCTCGCGGAGGCGCCGCCGCTCCCAGGGGCGCACTCGCGCGAGCAGGCGAGCGGCACGGCAGCAAATCGACGGCGCCGCGGGAGGCAGGGCGCGGCGCAGCGTGTGCGAGAGCCCGGAGCCGACGGCGACGCAGGTCGTGTCCCTGGACGAGCCGAGGCGCCAGAGCGCCGCTCTGAGCGCGAGCTCGGCACCGTCGATGCAGCAGGACGTGCCAGAGCGTGTCCGTTGCCCTGGGGGGCCATCCACTGAAGCGCAAGAAGTCGAAGGGAAAGTGCCAGTGCGACGGGTGCGGGACGGACATCTCGATGGGTCGTCGGTTTCACAAATGCCACAGGTGGTAATGCTGTATGTAAGTATGTATGTATGTATCTATATATCTATATATCTATCTATATATTTATCTATATATCTACATATATATAGATGTATATTCCTATAATTATACATCCTGTAAGGAAAAACCCCCCCCGGATGGCCCACACCCCCCCCCCAGATACCTTTTCCCCCGGTCCAACCCAGCCTTTCGAACCCCGGATGGCCATCGCCGCCACTCTTCCCTGACACGCCCAGACGCCCAGACGGCTCCCGATACCTTTTTCGCCGCTCCTTCTTAGTCGCCGACTCCTTGCCAAAACACCCCAAACGGCTCAGGACGCCCCCCCGACGGCTTGAATACGGTGTACGACGGCTCTGACTGACGAGTCCCAGCCACCCTTCGGACGGCCATCCCCGTGCCCCCCGATACATGGTTCGACGCTTTTCCCGGGTTCCCGAGCCTCTGCCCACACAGCCCAGACGGCCCCTACATTGCTCAACGCTTCTCCCTGGCCACTACACTCCAAAAAAAGGCTTCGACCAAATCCACGCGACGCCCCAAAGAGCGACCACGCCTTCAAGGCTCCACGAAGGTCACACAAGGCCCCCAGCCAACTGCACAGGGCGCCAGAAAGGCGTCCAAAAGGTTTGCCTTTAGGCCTCCACCTTCCAGACAACACCCTCCCCACGACGCTGCTGCCTCCTCCTTCTCCTCCTTCTCCTCCGCTTCCTCCTCCTCCTCTTTTCCTCCTCGTCCTCCTCTTTTCCTCCTCCTCCTCCTATCTTCCTCCTCCTCCTCCACCTTCTCCTCCTTCTCCTCCTTCTCCTCGTCCTCCTCCTGCTCCCGTTCCTCCTCCTCCTCCACTTTCCTCCTCCTCCTACACCGCCTTCTCCTGCTCCACCCTTTTCCACCTCCTGCTCCTTCTCCTCCCCCTCTTTCTCCTCCTCCTCCTCCTCCTCCTCCTCCTTCTCCTCCTCCTCCTCCTCCTCCTCCTCCTCCTCCTCCTCCTCCCTCTCCCCCTCCACCTTCTCCTCCTCTTCTCCTGCTCCTCGTCCTCCTTTCCTCCTCCTCCTCCTCCTCCTCCTCCTCCTCCTCCTGCTGCAACTGCTCGTGCTCCTGCTCCTCCTCTTCGTCCTCCTCGACTCGTTCCTCCTCCTCCTCCTCCTCCACTTCCTCCTCCTCCTTCATCCTTTTCCCCCTTCTCCTCCCTCTCCTCCTCCTTCTCCCCCTCCTCCTCCTCCTACTTCTCCTCCTCTTCTCCTCTTTCTCCTCCCCCTCCTCCACCTCCTTTACCACCTCCTCCTCCTCCTCCTCCTCCTCCTCCTGTTCTTCCTCCTCCTCCTCCTCCTCCTCCTCCTCCTGCTCCTCCTCCTCACAAGCGTCCCAAACGGCCGCGCAGACATCACCTGCTCCTCTTCCTCCTCCTCCTCCGCCTCCTCCCTTTGCCTCATCCTCCTTCTTTCCCCTCCTCTCTTCGTCCTCCTCCCCCTCTTTCTCCTCCTCCTCCTTTTCCTGCTCCTGCTCGTCCTCCTCTTTCTCCTCCTCCTCCTCCTCTTCTTCTTCCTCCTCCTCCTCCTCCTCCTCCTCCTCCTCACATGTGTCCCAAACGGCTACACTGACGTCTGCAGGACGCTCAGCCTATCACGCTCGCATACCACGAAATCAGCTTGCCTGCGTAAACGCATCCCCCCACAGGCTTCCTATCCCGCTCATCCTGACTCATCCTGCACCTGCTCCTGCTTACCCTCCTCTCCATGGCCATTCATGCTCGAGCCTTCCAGCAGCCTGCACCGCCTTCTCGGCCACGTTCGCTGCTGTGAGATGGTCCGGCCTGGATGTGCGTTCCAAGGCTGTTCGTGCTCCCAGCTTTCCACAGTCAACGCCCTGCTCGACTTTCGCACGAGTCCCTCGTGCAGCTTTCTGTTGAACGACAACCTCAAAACTCATGGAACCACGGGCAAACCCGTGCAACCCGCATTCTGCTCCTCGGAATGCTTTGAGGCGGCCTGTGGCATAAGCGGCCTGTCCCAAGTTGACGACGCCATGCTCGCTCTCTTCCGAGCGACGTGGCTTGAACGAGATCGGCGACACCGTGCGCGGCTCCTCCTCGATCCCACGATAGTTTCAGACTCTCTCGAGGTCGTTCCCGCCGAGGGGCCCGTCTCGCTCAAAGCGGCGGTTGCTTCTATCATGGCCGATACTTTCTTCTGTGCCACGTCCCGGGAGCTGGACAAGGTTACCCTGGAGATCCGCCGGATTGTCTCTGCAGCCAAAAGTTGGCCTGAGCATCTTTGGCTCGTGTACATCGGCCGCAAGACGTACTCTTTAGACGCCGTGTGCGCCCTGCTGGAAGGCCCTCACAGACTCAAGTACGATCGTGGCTACACCATCGACCCAGACGCCTTGGACCACCTGCTCGACAACACTAGCCTCGGTGACGGCATCCTCCACGGTGAGAGCAAGATCGAGCTCCGCATGCGCATCATCGCCGTCCGGGACCTCCTGCACTCTCTGCCGCGAGGGTTCCTCGACGGGGCTCCCGACGACCTGGCACAGACTGCGCGCGTACTCCTGAAGACCTCCGAGAAGAAGCCCGGCACCCCCGTCACATTCAGTATGACGGAGACCGCGGCCCGCCAGTGGCCAAGCATGACTACGACCGACCGTCTCTGGCATTTTTTCATGTCCATCGGCGGGACGAGCCACTTCCACGCCTGGCAGATGTGTCTCGACTGTCCTGACGTGATTTGCGACGCCTCTCAGATGCGAGCCGTGGGTCCCAGTTGCTACTCCTACCTCCGCCTCGCCTACCCGGCCGTGGAATTCCCTGCAACATGGAGCTCTGCCCAGGGCCAGGACCTCGGCGTTCGCCTGATCGACCACCTCCGTACGCGCCCGGAACTCCAGGGCCTCGAGTTCCCAGGCCCCACGCTCAGCTTCAACAACACCGAGCACTGGACGTGCGAATCCGTGAAGGCGACCAAGGCCTTGCACAACGACGGCCTCCTGATCCGCGTGGGCGAGATACGGCACGTCTTGCAGGGAGGCGCTCTGGCGGTGCCGGCCAGCGGCAAATTTCGAACGCGCCGGTTCCGCACCGGCTTGGCCGCGCCAGACCCCTCCTCCATGAGCGGCAGTTTGATGTACGCGCCACGGACCACCAGCCACGCGCCGCTGATGAAGAAGAGCGTCGTGGGGGAGCCGCCTGCGAAGCGCCAGGCCTCCCTGCTGGCTTTCGGCGCGGTGCGCCGATCAGCCCGCGACCCCTGATGTCCTTCGACGGCGCGCCGTGCAACGACAGCGCGCATCCTCAGGCATAACATTGACTCCGCGGCCCGCGCATGTTTAGTTGGGCCAGCCCGGCGCCCTGGATCTTGCCGGGCTGCCGCGGCCACATATGCCCTGCTGCCACGCCGCTCCTCTCCCTTCCCTCTCCCATCCTTTCCTCCCTCCTCTCTGCATCGTCTGCTCCCGTTCTTCTACCTTCCCAACCCTTCTGTCGCAGACATGGCGCGCTGACTCGCCCTGGCGCCGCCGGCACTTTTGCCTCCCAGCCACGCCGTTCGCGCCTCCTCCCGCTCTCCAGTTTCTCCTCCCTCCTCTCTGAGTCGTCTGCTCCCGTGTTTCCTCTTGCCCTCCCCCATTTCACATCGCTCTGCAATTCCCTACTACCCACTTCTTTTTCGCACGCTTCTTTTATCCGATACTGCATCACGCCGTTTTCACACGTGCTGTCGCGCTCTGTGCGCCGAACTTCTCTGTTCTTCCCCCGCGGCACACGTCCGCGCTGGCACCCGTGTTTGTTCCACGCGTGCGAACAAGATTCCTGACCACCTGGCAAAATATCCTGCCCTTTTGACATAACAGCGGTTGCAGCGACGGCCGCGCTCGCTTACAGCAAATCGTCACACACTTCGTGCTCCACGTTTCCACAAATCCCATGCCCGAACAACTTTTTCGATGCCCCGACACTACTGTAGGCCACTTCGTCCTCTTCGAGCTCCCAGAACCCCATTCCCGAACCACATTTGGGATGCCCCGAGCCACCTGTAGGCCACTTCGTGCTCTTCGAGCTCCCAGAACACCATTCCACAACCACATTTTTGGTTTCCCGGAGCCACCTGTAGGCGACTTCGTGCTCTTCGAGTTCCTACAACACCACTCCCGGACCACATCTGGGATACCTGGAGCCAACTGTAGGCCACTTCGTGCTCTAAGAGCTCCCAGAACACGATTCCCAGACCACATTTTAGATACCCAGAGCCACCTGTAGGCCACTCTGTGCTCCGCGAGCTCCCAGAACTCCACTCCCGAGCCACATTTTGGATGCCCACAGCCAAATGTTGGCCACTTCGAGCTCTTCGGGCTCCCAGAACACAACTGCCAGCCCACATTTTCGATGCCCGGCATCAACTGTACGCCACTTCGTGGTCTTCGAGCTCCACAAACATCATTCTCGGAACACATTTTGGATGCCCGGAGCCAACTGTCTGCCACTTCGTGCTCTGCGATTTCCCTGAACACCACTCCTGGGCCACACTTTGAATGCACGGAGACAACTGACGCTGAGCCAGACTGCTGCTGAGGCAGACTGAGCCTGAGGCTGTGGCAGCTGCGCCTGAGGCAGGCTGAGGCTAAGGCTGAGGCAGGCTAACGCTGACGCTTAGGCAGGCGCAGTCTGAGGCTGAGGCAGGATGATGCTGAGGCAGGCTGAGGCTGCGGCTGAGATTGAGACAGACTGAGGCTGAAGCTGAGGCTAAGATTGAGGCTGAAGGCAGACTGAGGCTGAGTTCAGGCAGGCTGAGGCTGAAGCAGGCTGAGGCTCAAGCGGAGACTGAAGTTGAGGCTGAGGCTGAGGCTGATGGATGTCATTATCGATCGCACGAGAGATTCCCATGTCGCTCTCACATGGACCTCCCCATCACCCCCCGATCGACCTGCCAATCTATCTCACTATCAATCTCAAGCTCGATTTCACCTCGAGGTCCTCATTCATCTCCATATCCAAATCCTCCTCGGTCGCACGAGCGATGCGATACCACGACCCATCGCACTACCGACTTCATGGTGGAGCTCACGATCGACCTCCTGGTGGATCTTATTACATTACTTTCGACTTCGTGATCCGTCACACGATCGATCTCACTGTCGATACCCCCCTCGACCCGACGATCTGTCTCACAACCTACATCATTATACTTCAAACTATCGATCCCCCCTTCGACATCATGGTCGATGTCACATCGCAGTCATTAGCGATCTTAGTAAGGATATCACTTCCGACTTCGTCATCGATCTCACTATCGATCTCTTCAACAATCTCACGTTCGATCTCACTATGGATATGGCAGTTGACCTCACTATCGTTGAAACTGTCGACCACACGATCGAGGTCACTATCGATCTTCTGCGCATCTCAAAATCGAGCCCACTAACGATCTCATTCGGAAAGTGCCAGAGGCCACCGAGTGCCATCTGCGACAACTGGCAGCCACGCTGGACGTCTTAGGCTGCGCATTGTTGTTATATTCAAGCTTGCACTCGCACTCATTCGTCCTCTTCGACCCTCCTCTCAGATGCGAAGTCGAGCCCAACTTTGAAGATGGGGGGAAAAGAGGTGCCAAGCGCGGAGTCAAAATGACGCTGCATGTTTGTGTCCCCGCACAATGACACTCTCTACCTTCCAGACGACCATGACCATGACCCCCCTCCCGGTCAAGCCCTCGCCCCTTTGGTCGATCTCACATCGCAGTCATTAGCGATCTTAGTACGGATGTCACTTCCGACTTCGTCATCGATCTCATTATCGATCTCTTCATCAATCTCACGTTCGATCTCATTATTGATATGGCAGTTGACCTCACTATCGTTGACACTGTCGACCTCACGGTCGAGGTCACTATCGCTCTTATGTGCATTTCAACATCGAGCCCACTAACGATCTCATTCGGACAGTGCCAGTGGCCACCGAGTACCATGTGCGACAAGTGGCAGGCCCGCTGCACTGTCTGAGGCTGCACATTGTTGCATTCAAGCTTGCACTCGCACTCATTCGTCCTCTTCGTGCCTCCTCTCAGATGCGAAGTCGAGCCCAACTTTGAAGATGGGGAAAGGAGAGGGCGCCAAGCGCGGAGTCAAAATGACGCTGCATGATTGTGTCCCCTGACCATGCCACTATTCTATTTTCCGGACGACCATGACCATGACCCCCCTCCCGGTCAAGCCCTCGCCCCTTCCACGTTAACTTGCTGGCATTCCACAATATCCACCTCTAAATGTTCACCCTCTTCTTACTACCCTTACCTCCTCCATCACAGAGTTCACCAAGGTACCCTCATCTCTTTCCTCACCCTTCCGTCCTACCATCGCCATCCTGCTCAAGTCGGTCTCATTTAGACAGTCTGCTTCGCGTCTTCCCAGGACTCTCTTTCCTTGACCTCTTCGACCGGCCACCATGCCTGCCAAGACGCAGAATCGCGTCTTCCAGCCAGCCGCCGCCCTGCCTGCGGGAGCCGCGGCCGGGATTCAACGCCAGAGCGCCTCGTTGTATACCATCCAGTGTCACGTGGAGATGCTGGACACCCCGACCGTGCAGAACGCGGGGATGCAGCTCACATTCTTCGACAACAAGTCCTTCAAGGACGGCACCCCGTCGCAGCGCCACGGCATGAGCACCCTCACGAATCGCACCATGTCGACGTTGAACTTGCCGGACCCGCCGCGCGCTGTGGAACGCTCCGACCTGCAGATGCGGCCGCCCCTGGCTGCCAACAACCCCACGCAGGGAAAATCGTGGGCATTCGTCGTCGCCGCCGTGGGCACGTCCGCGACGTCCGCCAAGTCCGCCGTCTCGCACGTCGCGCACTTAGGGGAGCAGCTCATCCGCAAGGCGTTCTTCGAGGCCAACTTCACGGTGCCGCCCATGGAAAACAAAGCCCAGTGGACAGTGCGCGCTGAGCCGCTGGCGCCCCGCCTGGCGCTCACGCGCGAGGGCACGCAGAACAACGGCCAGCCTTACGTCATCCGCGAGCCCCTGAACTTCAACATATCCGTCTGCTCCAACGCGCCGCCCGCAGCGGCGAAAATCTTCCAAAACGCGCAGCTGACCTACCCCACGATCATCTCCTACGCCGTCAGCAATCCAGCCGTCGGTCTGTCTGCGACGCCGCCCCCTGCGCCCAGCGCCAGCTCGGGAGGCGCGACGGCGGCTATGAAGCGCCCGGCAGCGTCTTCCGCGGGCCCGCCGCGCAAGCGCCCCGCCCGCAATGCCTGAGACACTTGCCACAGCCGCGGAGTAGCATCGCTCTCTCCTGCCTGCATGTGCAGGGTATATGTTTAAAATAACTCCGGCTGCCTGCGCCGAAAAAGCATCATCCCCCATCGTCGCATGCCGACGCCGCCCGCGCCGTCGTCGTCCCTCTCCAAAGGCCGCGGCAGCATGACCGCGCGGCCCCCTGCGGTCGTGGCCGCGCCCATGCTTCTTTGAGCGCGTTGGTTCGAGGGAAACAGGAGGCTGTTTTGAAATCAGCTCCCCCGCACCTGCCGCCCAATACAAAGTATCCCCCCATCGTCGCACGCCGACATCGCTCACGTCGCCGCTGTTCCCAAAAAGACAGTCACGGGGGCATGACCGCGACCCCCCTCGCGGTCACAACCGCGCCGCAGTTTTTGTCAGCCCGTTTTCATTTGCCCGACAAGGAAGCGAGGAGGGCCGCCGTATCTCAACTCGAGTTCCTCCGGTCTCACTCCGACCCGCACCCGCTGACGCAGGCCCTCGCTTCCCCGCCGCCGCAGTCATTTGCCAGTCGAAAACGCTTCGGATAGCCCCATGCCCGCTCGGCAACGTGAGTTCTTATGTTCCGCATGCGGCCGCATGCGCAGCCGCGACATGTTCACCGACACCCAGCGCAACAAAAAGGACAAGCGTTGCAAGGATTGCCCAGCTCATGTGGCCCAACGCACTCCCGTCCTCACGTGCACTGCATGCCTGTCAAACAGACCTCGAGCGGACTTCGCCCTGAACCAGCGAAAGAGAAGTTCCCGCATCTGTCTGGCGTGCGCCGCCCATGCTCCTCGACGCAGTGGGGATGCCCGTGCCGTCCGCGAGGCGGCGTGCAGTACCTGCGGCCAAGTCCTACCCTGGGCCGCGTTCCCGGTCGACCACCGCCACGCCAACAACCCGGTGTGCGAGAACTGCTCCCCCACCGCCATGCGCGCGGGCCGGCCTGCAACGCTGACGTTCCACTTGGGCTCGCTGAGCTCGCCGTGCC